TCTGCATGAGCCGTTGTCCCCAGAGCGCAGGCAAGAAAATCATCTGGAAGAAGGAGACATTTTTCGCGAGCGCACATTCGCTTTTCTCATGGCGGGTGTTGACCTTGTCATTTGCGGCTGGCGGATTTTCAGTGATCATGAAGGAACCGCTGGGCTTAATCCACAACAACTCTAAGCTTAAATCTGTTGTCGCTCATGGTCCCTGAGACATAAACTTTTAGCCCAATGGCTGGAATTGGCCACGGTTGCTGAGGCTTGTCCTCTCCATCCCCTCCCTCGTGGGCCGCTCCATCACTTTTCAGTATCAGGCTTGTGGTTTGCGGACTATGTCAAGTCCGAACGTCTGCGGTTCAAGGTAAGGTGATGTCGTGTAATAGGATTGTGCCTTTTGAAGCTACCCGTGCCAGGAACGCTGGTACTTGATGCCTCGAGCAATCGAATAGGGCTTCAAAATTCCAAGGGCCCCGCCGGAGATCTGCACAGCGCTTGCGCAAGCCTCCTGCAAACCAAGGTACCTGATGTTGGCCTTTGATTGTTGGCTGGTTTTTTCAGATCGCGTGGTACCAAATTGGACGCCTGGCTTGATGCTTGACAACGTTTTTGGCTGGTTGCCGCAGTCCGCTACAGTTTCCGAGAAGACCATTCCGAGATGCACTTAAAAGGTGATGGGAAGCCTTGCTGCTGTATGCAATGGAAGCAACAGCATTGAGACCAGCAGGTCAGGGGAATCTTAACCTGACATAACCTGACCCCGTGAGGGGCATCAACCAAAACGCCACAGACCTTGATTCCCAAATCACCTCAGTTATGCCTTGTTCGAAGCGGATTTGGGAGGGAGCTTGCAAGGGGGGGTTGGGGTTTACTACCTCCGTTAGATGTTGCACACGGGTTTGGTTGGCATTTGCTGACTTGAGCTGGGCTGGGGAGTCTTTTCGCAGCATGTCGGAGTAGGCAGGCGGTGCGTGCCGTTGAAGGCAGGGCAGCACAAGTACAGATTTGTATAGATACTTGATCATCTATTATGCGCAGCCGAGATATCAGAACAGTCAGGTTTGAACAGGCTTGAACAGCATATGTTTGCCAGATGACGCGTCGGCCCCAGGCACCAACATCGAGCATCTGTTCTACGCCCTAGAGCTCTGTGTGACCAGCGTTCTGGTCCGAGCCCCGTTGTGCTGAAGGGCAGAGGGCTTCAGAAAAAAGCCACACAAAACCCGCAGCAGCGAACAGGAGCCTCTGCCTTCTACTGCAGGCATGCAGATGCTCGCGAGATACCCTGCAATTCAGGAAGCGCAGGGCTGTCACTGGCCATGCCCATGCTAGAAAATTGCGCACGTTAGAGCCTCTTACTGTCACAATGCTTGGTCGCTGGCGTAGGTAAATGGTTCCGGTCTTTGGACTGCTTTAGCGTCACTTGCTTGCAATCGCCACAGACTCGTTCTTGCCAGAGGTCACCAACATCTTCCAGTTCGGATGGTGGAGGTGTAAGCAGCGCACTGGCGAGCTGACCCACTGGCAGAGGTAGGCTGTTGCTCATCGGAAGCCTGATTCTGTGCACCAACCGGGGGCTAACCCAAACGCTGCAATGATGTGTGCAGGTGGGATGCTGCTTACTACCTTGGCGCCGCCATCCCCATGAACTTGGGAATGCCTCTAGCAGTTGTCCTCATCTACATCGGTGAATGGGGCTGCCTCGTTGCAAATCATGTGTGATGTCATGTGAGCAAGCTTTGCCTTGCTGCCATACGTACAGCATGTAGCAACATGTAGCGGCCGCATCACGCGTCAGGCTATCCGGGGTCCAAGATGTGGCATTCTAGCAGCTGGATGCCCAACACAGTCCATGGCATCACGCTCTACGTCTTCAAGTGGCCTCTTGGTCATAAGCAAATGCTTTTGGATAGGAGCACTAAGACAGCACAGTAGCCCATCCTTTGCTCATATAGGCCATGGGCCATGACTATCGTGACTCAGATATGGAAATCCATCAGGATTGGCGTGATTTTCCTGACCATCGGGGTCTTGAAGGCGACACAGCTTCACACCAAGATCCGAAAGAAGCCCCTCCGCTGCAGCTCTGTAACCTGGGTTGAGATGCAAGTTTATGTGGCTCAGAAGATGGTGAAGTCCATTTCAGATTCGGGGCCGGCCCTTGGCCAGCCATTTGAAGTTCAGGGTAGCGGGTCGATTCTGAAACGTTGGTTCTCAGCTTACTCTTAGCCCCTTCATACACCTGAATCAGGGATGTTGTTGAGCAGCGCCCTCAAACTGCGGCCGCGGCTACCTCATTTCGATTCCTGTGCAGTGTGCAGAATCATCGCAATGACTGTCATCCTGGAAAGCCCTGATGGAGGTCTGAGGCCGTGTAAGTCTGCCAACCATCGATGCCAAATTATGCTGGCCAGGACTTCACTGCCCAACACGCAGAATCTGCCCGCCCCAACACTGAAATTATTACAGTCTTCACGCCGTGACAATGTACTATAACCCTTCAGTTCAACTTCACAGGAAAGGGTTGCAGGTTGAACGAGATCTCCACCTCTCTCAAGGTGGCAAAAGCTCCGGGGTCAGAACAAGACGGCGCAGGCGCGGTAGCTTCCGAACCCCAAGCCAGTTGACAGTTCGTAGATCGGTGTTGCACATATCGCAGCTCACGGAGCAAGGTGGAGGTTTCAAGCTCAGGGTTGATTGGATTCAGGGGTTGAAGTGTCTTGGGTCCTGCGGCCTGAGGGTCTTTTCGAGAAATCTCAGGTTTGGTTGAGCATGTTGGGCCAACTTCAAATCTATAGAGTTTGGACCGTAAATCGCGTTAAAGGCCACTCGGACGGTTCTTTGAGGTTCATGTGTTTTCAGGGGAATTTCTTCTGTTGTCATTTGCACCTCTGGCACCCAAGACCGCGAGAGTCTTGAAAGTTTCGAGCATGACAATCCAAAAGCTAGAAAAATCGCCGCGAGGTTGCAGAGATGGCCTGAAGAAGCATGGCAGAGCCTGGCTGTGAAGTTCGGATTCCGGCAATTCGGGTATTGGAGGTTTGTGTTGGAATGCAGATTGGGATCTTATTAGGTTCGGCAGCAAAAATGAAAAGAACAGAATGTGCCAACGAGAAGGTTGGGTATGTCAGAGCTTTCCTGAGCCCCGTTAATCTCTGCCTGAACCCGCCCGAGGCACGGGCTTTGTCGGATTGCACAATCCCTGCTGGCAGCTTCGCGTGACTGACAAGCCTTTAAATTGTCTTTGTATAGTCTTTTCAGGGTTGGCCTCTTCTGGATTTTTGTCGGCTTTGACAAGTCCTTCGGGATGGCTTCAAAAGGAGACCAGGTTACGGGCAGCTGGCAAACCAGCAGTCCCGCCATGACATGTGTAGGCGCCGCGCACCGTTTGCCATGCCGACATCAGCTTGGTAGATCCAATGAACACCCGACTACTAACCTGAGTTACCTCAAGACATGTGCGTGCTGCATATGTCTAATGTCATGGCTCAGTAAGAGGAGACAGCCCTGGGTGATCTGGCTGTCTGTGAGTATGGTTCGGGATCATGACATCACCCGTCCTGTCAACATCACGATCGTTGTCTCGGAATGGAATTGTCCCGAACTTGCTCTTCTTTGGTAGATGGCCAGTGAGTACGGCTGCTTCTCTCGCTGTGCCATGTTGCAGCAACAGACTCAGCAAAACACATGTGGTTGGCAAACAGTTTCAGGCTTTCCATTTTTGTTTCATCCAGCGCCTGGCAGTTCGCCACACACGGTGGCGCACCTCCAGGTGCAGCATGAACTCCTGGCTCCCAAAAAGTGAGTTTGAGAAGACCCTGTTCATCAGATATCTGCGGGCACAGGCGCTGCCGCACTGCGCATAGAGTGGTGTGCAATTATTCCGTTATTCTGTTTACCTTCTTGCAGTTTGCACAGCTAACAATTTCGATGTTACAAAATGAAGGCACCCAAAGGCCGTCGGCTCAACTGAAAACTGATCTGGGGACGCCTCAGTGGATGTTTTCGATGGGGCAGCAGATCACAACAGGGCACATAAAGCACATGTCGAGGCCTGGTGAAATTCGTAGACAAAGTACAAACGAACTATGTCAACAGTTTGCGGTTCTGTAATAACGACCATTTCAACCTACCCGTTTCTGCTAGGGAGGTCTTCCGATTTCAGGCATTGCACTTGATTTGATCATTCTGGGCATCTGGAACCAGGTCCGTTGGAGTCGTTTCAACCCTCACCCGCATCTATCAAATCTAGATGCTAACATGCTTGCGGCTCGATTCCTTCACGATCCGAATTGGGGAGTATGGCTGCGCAGGGGCACAGGCAAAGTCAACGATGTATTTGCCACAATCACATCGGAAATTTGTTGCTCACATGAGCTGGGCAATAGGCTAGCTTCGAGATTCAGACCCTTCGGAGAACTCCAGTTCTGCAGCGCTGGTTATGGCATATCATGGCACACCATGCCGTAGCACGGAGGGAAAATACTCACTGTAAGAAGTTAGCTTTGAAGCTTGCGGAGCTTGAGCCATCTGGCAGCTCGACCATGCTGGGCGGCTGTGGTAGCAGGTGCATGGGCATGATTGGTGTTGGCAGTATAGAGGGATAGGTGCAGGATTGCGAGCAAAAAGTTTGGGGTGCCGGAATTTGGGAGCGCGAGATCCTGCAACTGTGCAGTGCACAGCTCTTGTGACAAGTGCTTCTGAGCGTCGGGCTTCCACCTTGCAAGTCTTTTTTAGGGTGTGTGCTTGAGATCCGTCAAGGGGGATTCCTCTTTTGAGTGAAGATCTACGCAAGCGCCGTGCGCTCAAGGCAATTGATTATGCACCCTGCCTAACTTCGCAGACATCACATTGGGGTTCCGGCGGTTCCGGTTTGAAGGCGATTTTGCCTGTCCATGCAAGCCCGGTTGAAAGCTTATTGTCCACTTACATCTGCATTACCGTTGCTAAAACCTTTCTACACAGAAGCTCGAGCTGGCGCCCGCTTTCTGCACTGCTGTCCCAGAGTCTCGCCTCCTTGTGGGATGTTGCCCTCACAACCCGTAGTCCAAAGGTGACATGGCACCGCAGGCCGCCGCTGACGCAGGTGCCTGAATTTGGCTCTAATGTTCTGCTTCTGAGGCTTCAGGACACGAGTCGCTAGGCTCCCAGAAATCTTTAGTCTTTGTGCGTGGAGCTCCCTACTCTACTGACTCGCTGCCAGACCGCCATGGGGCACTCATCCAGGGCCTGTATTCCAACACTGCGCGGCAGACCGAGTTTGCGGGATGCTCAAATCTGGGGCGGTTTGGGTTTTGAGGATTTCTGGCAGACACTTGTGAGGCGTAGCCTGGCTTTCTGAAACTTTCAGATCACGGGCTCTCAAAGGAGGCCAGTCCGTGTTTTCAAGAAAGCTGGACTCTAACAGAATTTGAACCAAGAAAAGAGTCTCTTCCGGTAAGTTGGCACTTGGACAGTTTGGATCCTACATCCGGACACGCTGGCCTGGACTCCAATGCTCGATTCTATAGGGCCCGAGTCACCGAAAATATGAGTGTGGCAGCTGCACAGTTGGGAACACAAGACAACTCTGCAATTGCGGAAGCCAGTCTCTCTAAGAAGTTTGGCTCCATAACAACCTTGGAAACCGTCACTCTGACGCCTTCAGCCAAGGAAATCTCGAATCTGCGGGCGCATTGTGAGGCTGAACTCGAGCACAGCTGTTGCCTTGCATACGTTTGGTCAGGAGCTGTCTCATGTAGGGCCAAGCCGGTCTTGTGACAAGCCCCTGGTATCCTTACACCACCATTATCCTACCCCAACTTGATAGTTACTCGATATCCTAGATCCTGTGCGAAATCAGTAAACATTGCAGATCAAGTTGCCGGTCACCTTGTACGGTATGAAGGCCTCCTCCTTTAATATTGCAGTGCTCATTTAAGATGTACATTGGCATTAGGACGTCATGTGTCAAAGGCTCCAAGCCCCCAAGAAACCCTCAAATCTGGAAGTAGGAGCCAGCCTTCATTGCGAAAGCCGGCAAGCCCTTCAAAGGCAAAAAGATGCAACAAACAAGCGTCCTTTCAGCAACTCTTCAAACTCCACCGCTTTGCACTCTATAGACACCGCTCCTGCGCAGTTCCACGATGAGCCGATCTTTGATGAGACGCCTCGCGTCGAGTCCTTGGATTTGTGTCATCTCCGAACATGACCGTAAAGTTAATTTGTTTATAAGATTCTCAGAGGGAGCTCTAGATGGATCCCGCGCCTCACTTTCGTATGCACAGCTTCAACAACATGTTCGAACCTATACCTTACCGACATCAGAACTTGTTGAAGTTCACTATCGTGGAAGCTCGCGTTTCTCAGCAGCAGTGCCCGCTTGTTCCCGGTCAAACTAAAGACAGGCCATGCTACGTGGCAGAGAGGTCTTCCCAAATGCAACCTCAAATGAATCTATATATTTGCATCCTGGAAGACCAGTTGCAAACCTGGACACATGCTCAAGCTACGTTGTAAGCTTAAAACATTTGCTGCATGGTCTTGTGAGGTTCGACGAAAGCGAAAGACGACGCGCGCGGTTGCTCAGGTGTTCGGGGTGGCTGAGGTCTTTTTCTTCATGCGTCGTAGACCGCTTCCATCTGCTGCCCACCGCAACGGTGGGCTAAATCTATCCAAGCAAATAAATGAAGTCTTCAACATCGGAAAGGCTTGCATCAGGGCAGCGCACAAAGTCATCGATCCATGGCATTCTGTCCTATTGATTGTACTTGTGCGCCAATGGCACACAGCAGAGAATTCACCATCCTTGCATACGCTCATGCAAATCTTCAAGCCGCAGCCCCGACGATTCAGACCAAGCCCTAACTCAAAGTCGAATTATCTGTTGATTTTCATTTGTAGACTCCCCTCACGAGCACAAGATGATTCCAAAGAACCACTCTTCAGTGAATGTTCTAGCAAAGCCTCCTGGAAGCCTGTGGTGTAGGGTGCCGTTCTGCGCCTGTGCTCACAGCTCTACATCTTCGCAAGGCCATGAACAGGAGTCGTCCTGCAACCGCCTTACGAAGAATCTGGGCTGCATCAAAGACTCCGGCTTTGTTCTAGCCATATGCATGCATCAGGTGTCCCTTTCAAACATTCAATAGGGTTTTGTTATGTAATTTTTGTCAGTGTCAATGGGCCTCCGTAAGAATAATAGCGACCAGACTGGTGACTGTACAGTGGGGTGTCCATCTGGGACCATTATTGAAAGCCATGGGTCACGAGGCTGCTTGCTCATTTAGGTTTCAGACTGGTTGCTGGCTTATTACCAAGTTGTTCATGCGTAGCCTAGTTTTCTTGCGGGGGTTATGTGCCCCGAGAAAAGGAGGAGCTAGACTGCAACAAGATCATGCCAGCAAACGTAAGGCCATCTCTTACTTCCATCTCTTGCTTTGAGACATGTTGAGATTCATTTCTCTCCTGGAACACTTTCCAGGACTGTGGGCCAGCATCGCGTGGAGATGGCCATGCGTGCAAAAGCTCAGTCGGTGAAGGCTCACAGCCAGGCGGGTCCAACGTGTTGAAGGTGTTTGTTTGAACAGCTTGGCGCGCCTGGGTTTGAGCTTCAGATCCCTTCCTCAACTTCCGACTGTCGGCTGCGATTCGGGGTCTTACTGCAAGCTGGTTTGTTTGCGTGGTTCAACTGACTACGTGCCATGCCAACTCGAGCCCTTTGCCCATGTTATGAGAACTCCGCCCCGTGCGCGCATTTCAGACTTCTTTGCGAAGAAAACTCTTCTGAAACGGAGCCATAGGCCTATAGGCATCCTAGAGCAACTGATCTGATTTGCAGGCAGATGCAAAAGGCCAAGGCCTCAGCGGTTGCTTGAGGGAGTTCCCAAGGCTTCAGGGAATAGGGGTTGTCCATGTTGAGCTGCCATGATTTGTAGCTGCCTCAGCGCCTCAAGGTTGTATGCTTCTGGTGAACGCCCGCCGTCAATCTGCACGTTGGCTTGCTGTAAAAGGCTGCCTTGGCTCACAAGACAGCTGAGGCGCTCCGAACAACTTCTTAGACCACTTCAAAAATGTGAGATCAGAGAAGTCTACGCCACAGGTGGTTAGCAGCAGCTTGATGGTAACCTGCGACACCTCAACGGGAACCTACCGAAATCAGAGAACATGCTGCGGGAATGCACGTTCCTGAGATTTGTTAGAGGTCTAGGTCAGTACCAATGAGGTCCGTCCGGCGACCTCGCCAGGGCCATCCAGGAGAAGTTGGGGGCTTGAGCTCTGGAGCAGAAGATGTGGAAATTGTGGTGGGGTCGTGAGCACATCTGCTTTCAGGGATGAAGTTTACACTCGCGGCCAACATCAACTTGAGGCTCACTTTTGTACTAGTAAGCCACCTGCAGTTGTGATTTCACGCTAGCTTTGGTATGTCCTTTTCTTAGCGGTGGTGGCACGCTGCTGTTCCCCAAGGCTTTGCGCAGGGTCATAGGCTGGACACTGGGGACGCATGCTAATCTTGCAGCGATTCAAATTTATGAGCAGTGCGGACTTCATGAACAGGAGGGTTTCTTCGGGGAAAAGGCATTCCGTCCATCCACCTCATGGGTAAGATTGCTGAAAATTTCAGCGACATAGAGCTTCACTGGCCAACGTTTGAGCCATCAACTCTTCAGCCTTGAAACGGCTTGGATTTCTGGAGCCTCTATCTTGCGAAACGTTCCGCACTTTGCTTTGCAGCCCGTCATTTTCCATGCAAAAGTTTCAGGTTGGGCCAGAAGATGGCAGCTGCCAAGAGGACAGCCATGCAGCGCGAGGCTGGCATTGTGTCGAGGCATGCAGGAGCAGGAGTCAAGAAATCGTTGTGGAAGGCGAGCACCAGCGCAGGCCCTAGAAGTCATTTTCCGATTGAGGAAGATTCAATGTTCTCTGGCAGGCCTCTCCGGAGTCGCCGAAGTCACGTGGGCGACAGCACCTCTTGCGGGATGTTGGGGAGCTGTGATCACTCCCGGGCTGCTTGAAATTTGAGTGAGCAAACTATTGCTGAAGGGAGGAGGTGAGGTTTTCGGATTGGGGGTTGAGGTAGATGCCACGCTTGTGGAAATTAGGTCTTCTGATGAGGAATGTCACGTTCATGCCTCACTCTAGGGTGTGAAAATACTTTTGCTTCATATTCTGGTTATGGTTGTGATGCGTTGGGTCCTGCATTTCTGGGTTCTACTTTGAAAGTGCTTTGTCAAAAGAGATAATGATGAGATCCCCCTGTTGACTGACCACTGCAGCCTGCAAGGCAGTCTCTTGGCGATAGTTGGTAGCTAAATCCTTTGACGTAATGATGGCGCTTTGCATGTCGTTTGCCTACATGTCAGGAATCCACCTCGCTCGGAGACCTCGTCTTTTACTTCCCTGGGCATCTACGACGGCCCATGGACCATGGCCTTTTGCTACGCAAGTGTGCTGCGCATGGCTTCTCCTTGCCAAGGTTTGGATTCACTTTCCTGAAGAGAGAGAGTGTGTGTGTTTTTCAGCCGGAGCTGTGCCTTGAGTCTTTCTTGACTCTGTCTGATCAGGGCCTACATTTCTTCATCTCTGCCCTGACAGTACGTAGCCTAAGCAGTCCACCGTGCCATGTGGGACAGGGGGAAGTTTGGCATACGAGTTTTCTCGATTGTTCCGGAACAATGTCCGAAGGGCAAGATTGGGCAATCAAATCTGCATTAGTCTGCATTCCACAAGATCAAGATCTTGAGCTAAAATCTTTAGCGTTGCACGACAAACCGCCCCACATCCTTGGTACTGGTGAGGACCTCGAAGTTCACAGCCTCAAGAAGCCCTGGCGCACTCAATCGTCAGGGCGCCCTAGTCCATTGCAGTTATGGTCAGCACAGAGTTTGCTCGCTGAGCTTCCGAGCGTAAGCCGGGCGAGGGCACCGACTTATCTTGGGAAATCGCAGACCAGGCACAGTTTGCCAAGCGTATGCAACACTTTCCTCCTTGACTACATATAGAATTTTCATCGAAGCAGGTTCTCATCGCTGGTTCCCCTGTACACAAGTTCTTGGAACGACCTGGTAGCAGTTCTAGCATGATTCCACAAGTGAGGCTGGAAGTCAGACCAGCGACCAGACCCTGCTTGGTACAAGGCGCCCAAAATGTGACGTCTAGATATCAAGATCTTCTGTGAGTACAGAACAGCTTTGCTGTGTCAACACATGCAGAAGACCTAGCAGTTCAGTTGCTGCTGTCTGGCAGAGAGGGCTTGTGTCTGTTCCCAGCGCCTTCTAATGACCTCTGGGCGCCATTGCTTCAATCCTACTGCAAACATAATCTGATTATGATTTGGGAAGCAAAAAGATGTGCTCGGCCAAAGTGATGAAGGTTCAGTACAACATGCTGCTGGACAGGGCGCCGGCACTATTCTCAGAAGTGGAAGAGCGACTGCCTGTATTGAGAGTCAATTGAGCCTGGAATCAGATCAGCCGGACATGACTGATCCGTGCTCCTGATTAATTAAACTCCCTTGATTTAAAGAACATTTTTCCGGCCAAATTTGGAGTCCAAGATAAGTTTACAGGCAAGGCACTTTTAGGCCAAAAAACATTAGATTTCAAGAAAATCATCCCCAAACCCTAAGAAAACAAGGCTTCAGATAAGTTTTGGGCTCTCGAACTTGAACTTGAAACCTAAATCTGAGGTCCCATACCCAAATCAAACCTAAAACCTGTTCTGTAGTTCCAGGAGGGTACTAGAAGAACCTACTAACTCTACGGGCCCCCCCCCCCTATTTGCCCGCA